GATGACGCTCAAACAACAACGGGTCAATTAAATGTGACACGAGAAGCCGTCTCCATACGTTTGAAAGCCATGGGAAAGATTCAGAAGATGGGAAAATGGGTTCCACATGAACTGAATGAAAGACAGCAGGAAAACCGAAAAACCACTTGTGAAATACTGCTCGCCAGGTACAAAAGTAAACGGGGCAGAGAGTAACTTAATATTTATATAGTTAGAAAAGCCTCCCGAATATATAAAACTTTCTCATGAACAACTTTTTGATTTGACAAATAGTTGTCAAGTCATTTCTCCATCGAATTGTGACTGGCGATGAAAAGTGGATATATTTTGAGAATCCTAAGCGTAAAAGATCATGGGTAACTCCAGGCGAACCATCGACATCGACTGCAAGGCCAAATCGCTATGGACGGAAGACAACGCTCTGTGTTTGGTGGGACCAGAAGGGTGTAATCTATTATAAGCTGCTAAAACCTGGTGAAACCAGGTTCATACTGAACGCTACCAACAACAAATGATCGATTTGAATCAAACTTTGCGTGAAAAACAACCAGAATATAAAAAAAGGCAACACAAAGTGATTTTGCTTCATGATAATGCACCATCACACACAGCAAAACTGGTCAAGGAAACGATTGAGGCGTTTAGTTGGGAAATACTTTCGCATGCGGCTTACTCACCAGACTTGGCTCCGTCCGATTATTACTTATTTGCATCGATGGGACACGCACTTGCTGAGCAGCGCTTCACTTCTTACGAAAATGTACGAAAATGGCTCGATAACTGGTTTACCTCAAAAGAGCAACAGTTTTTTAGCGTGGCATTCACAAATTGTCAGACAGGTGGGAAAAATGTATAGCTAGCGATAGGCAATACTTTGAATAAAATATTTTTTATCATTTTCATACAATAAACGTATATTTTCTATATAAAAATTCCGGTTTCATATTTACATACCTGGTAACAACATTGAATAATAAATGTTTAACAAAAGAATTGAGCACAATGTTTATTATTTCATAATTAAATAATAAATATTTAACGAAAGAATTAAGCACAATTTTTATTATTTCATATATTCTTTATTTAAATACTTTTGAAATGCTTCAATTTTCCTGTATCTAATAATTTATTTGCTTTTTAAAAAAATAGCTATAACAAACAAATTTAATTTGTTGAAAGGTGTATGATTTATTTTTTCTAGCACTGCATATAAGTGATATATATGATTTAGTAAAAATTTTCTCCGTGTAGGATATAGATCTATCAATCTCCTTTAACGTCAAAATAAGCTTATTTTAATTTTTATTACCATCACTAACCATCAATAAGTTTTCTTTGTTACTTCTTCCAATAAACACAATGAAACACATTAATTATAATTTCCTACTTAACAATGTAACTAAATATAATACACGCGTTATACAGGGTGAGTGAAAAGTATGGAAACCCTTAAAAATTTCATAAGATATAAGTTTTATAGAAAAGTGTTTCAGGCAAAAGTTATAAGACTCAAAACAATATATTTACTGATCTTATCAATATGATTTTAAGTGACGTCAAAATCAGGTCAAGGTTAACTTATTTTTTTTAATAGAAACCCCCATTTTTTATTATATCATCTTTTTCTACTAATTAATTTGAGCAATTTTTGTCTGAAACATTTTTTTATTTGCCTAATATATTTTGGGATATTTAAGGAAAACTTGATGACTTTTCAAGACTTAATTTACGATATCTCGCTATTTGTCGGAAGAAAAAATGGTACTAGATTTTTTTACTCTTTTTGTTCTCAAAAATATATTGTTACAATAGTGCCCTAACTTTTGTTAACTTATTGACTTTTGGAAATTTCAAAATCATCAAATTAACAAAAGTCAGGGTGCTATTGTAACAATATATTCTTGAGACCAAGTAGAGTAAACAAATCCAATACCATTTTATTTTTCGACAAATAATTAGCAAGATATCGTAAGTTAAATATTGAAAAAGTGACCAAGTTTTTCTTAAATATCTCAAAAAATGTTAGGCAAATAAAAAAATGTTTCATATAAAAGTTATTAAAATTAATTGGTAGAAAAATATGATATAATAAAAAAGGGAATTTCTGTTTAAAAAAAATATGTTGACCTTGACCTGACCTTGGCAACGCCATTCAAGATCAAATTGATAAAATCAGTAAATACATCGTTTTGAGTCTTATAACTTTTGTCTGAAACACTTTTTTGTAAAACTTATATCTTTCGGGATTTTTAAAGGTTTCCATACTTTTCATTCATCCTGTATAACAATTGTACATTGTTGAGTAAAAAATTACAACTAATAGATATGTTACATGTTATATTGGGCTTGTTGGTTCTTTCATCACATTAAGTGCCACGTTAGATTCGAATCAATGTAAACCTAGCACTCAAATTTTCTAATCGCCATATTCATATACAAAATGAAATTATTAAACCCTTTGAGGGTTGTCTTGCTGTCTATTAATTTTGTTAAAAATGTAACAGAAATTTTTATGACGAAATAATATTTTAGAAAAAAAGAGACATGAAAATTGCACTACAAAAGTTATTATTATTTTTCTTAATAATAAATATGTTTACGTGTTAACACGTTATCATTGTACATTGCAATTATCATAATTTCAGCACTATTATCACTTTGAAGCTTGATATAAGAGTTTCACTTTTATGTTGAGTTCTACGAAGTGCTATTTGGCTCATAGCACATTCCACATTCGCTTTGATTTATAAAAAGCGTTTCGCACTCGGTGTTCAAAGGATGAATACATTGCCAACCATACAAGTTGTACTCGATTAGACAAGATATTTAATAAAATTAATCGTAATGAATCAATTATTCATGTTAGAAAACTTTACATCAAATCTTAAATGAATGACGAGGCCTTTACGAAAATACGTCATGCAAATATGGATGACATGGCACTCAACGTGTTACACCGTGATGTTCTATAGAAGTACACGAATTAATCAAATGTGCTTGTGTAATTTTTAATATGCTATGCTATCTTCATATATAATATAAAAGTCTTTGATTACGTGTAATATACAGTCGTGGATAAAATTAAGTGGACACTGCATAAATTTTGGCAAATCCTCTGTTTCATTCCATGTTGTAAATAAATTTTAAATTTTGAACGTAAAATATTCTTATCGGCATGAAAGAACATTAATTTAGTAAATATAATTGTAAAAACAGTGTTTCTGTAACTGTTTACATATATTTATTCATATGGTTAGCATTTAGACCTTGGACAAAATTAAATGGACAAACAGAAAGTTCTATATTCAAAGTGGAACAATATAAACAAACATTAAGCTTTACCTAATATATAATGTTATTACGTCCTCAGTGTACATTGATTCTTGTACCAGTACAATTAAAATTAATAAACAGACATGTCTAAGCAAAAAAAAGTTTTCCGTTCATCTGCAGAATCTAATTATTTCAGACTGCAAAAATAAGTTAAGTCTTTGTAAAATAGCTGAAAAATATAAAGTTTCGAAAAGCGCAGTTCATAAAATTTATACAAAATATTTACAACACAACATTGTCGGAAATGTACATAGTCGGGGATGGAGACGTAACACAAGTGCGATGATAGGAGAACTGTGAAAGAAGCTCAACGTAACCCATCGACAATGTCATGAAACATGTGTGTAGTTGTTGAACAACTACAATTAAACATATCTTCAAGAACAGTGAGGCAAAGATTAAAGGAGGTGGGTTTAAAAAGTTATGTAAGTAGACGTAAATCATACATTAATAAAGTGCATAAAAAGAAATATTTAGCTTTTGCAAAAAATATATAAATAAGCCATTATCATTTTGGAAATGAAAAATATGGAGCGATGAAAGTAAATTTTAATTATTGAATAAAAAAAGAGAGCACACGTTTAGAGGAAACCGAATGAAGCTCTAAAGAAGCGATATGTTGTACCAATAGTCAAGTATGAAGGAGGTGCAATAATGATATGGGCTTGTTTTTCGTAGTATGGGATTGGAAATTTAGTACCTATAGATGGAATCATGAATGCTGGTAAATATATTTTGACATTTAAAATGAAAACTTTGAAGAATCAATTCTAAAAATGGATTTTGATAGGGAACGAATGTTTCAGCAAGACAATGGTCCCAAGCACACAGCAAAGAAAACGAAACAATTTTTCCAGAATTGTAAAATAGTAGTTCTTGAATGGCCTCCACAAAGTCCGGAACTTAACCCAATAGAAAATTTATGGAATTTACTGGATGCAGAGATTCCATTAAAAAAAAACGCAATAATAAAGAAGAGTTTTTAAATGAATTACACCTAAAATTTCAAAGAATTGATAAATATTATCTGGAAAAACTTGTTGAAAGTATGCCACGACGTTTACAAGCAGTAATAAAAGCAAAAGGCTACAATACAAAGTATTAATACTTATTTTGTATAAAGTGTCCATTTAATTTTGACCATGTGCAGTTTTATGTTATTATCATTAATTAATCAATAAAAAATCTAATATATTATTTGTTACAACTGATATTTCTTTATATTTTGTCAAATTATACTTCGTTAATTTAAATAAGCAATAAAAGTTTGATTTTTTTACATTATTAGTTAAATTAAATTAACCTTTTGTTATTTGTGATACCTGTCCATTTAATTGTGTCCACGGCTGTATATATCGATTTTTAATTACACCTTTTTAAAAAAAGGTAAATAAAAAAAAAGGAAAAAGGTAAATTAAAAGAAAAAGACAACTGGCGTTGTACAGAATGTATTTAGAACCGAAAACGCAGTTCTTATTAGAATTATGTTAATAGAATTGGTCAACAGTGTCATAATTGAAGTAAATTTTCTTGGTTCAATATTATTCAAAATTCCTGGATTCATACTATTAAAATTAATATTCGATTTATTAAAATAATATATAATGTAATAATTTTAATAATATTGACGCTATTAATTTCAATAATATCGAATTAAAAATATTCACTCCAGTACTGTTGATCAATTATATTGATATAATAGTAATTTTTTTCTATATAATTGCGAATTCACGGAATTCTTATCATTATTGTTAAATACACATTTCGAATCACAATCCCTAATTTCGTTTCCTTCATCGATGTCACTGTTTTTTCTCTTTTCTTTTATACTAACGCTGAGTATTCTTGTTCCATTTCACTTAGCATGTTGTAAAGTCGCTTTTTTACATTCTCTGATGCGGCTGCGCGTGGTAAATTTGTGTCGCTGTGCGGATTAGCACATTGTCTCAGCAGCACGGCCAGACTGCAGGTGGTGTGTTCCGACATGAGCAATCCAGGAATAATCATCGCTCCCGAGAGCGTCCAGCCAAGGAAAATCTTCTCGCAAACGATCTACAAGTGTAAGATTTATATCGTTTCATTTATGTTCTTTTCTAAACGAAAATTTGTATTGAAACTGCTATTTCCTCTCCCTTTCTTTTCTTTTCCATCGTGATCATCTTAATTTGACATTAGAAGAGAGAAAGTATATTTTAAAAATTCTTGTAAAATATATTGAAAGAAGATATGTTTACAAAATGATACTGGTAATTAATTTAGGAGATCTATAAGATAGTTTGAACACTTTCTTTTTGCTCTAACAATTGATAAATAACCACGTAAAATTAACGTCGTAAAATTATAAGAGAGAGAGAGAGAAAGAGAGAGAGAGAGAGAGAGAGAGAGAGATGTTGCGTGTTATGTTAATTTTATAGTTAATTATTGTTTTGCTCAATTGTGTGATTGAAAGTGTCATTTAATGGATATATTTTTTTATTTCGTTATATATTACAAAAATTTTAGGCATATATTTACTCGTTTCTGATGTTATTAATCAAGAAATTCGCGGTAAGGAATCAGGAAATTTTTCTTTTTTTAGATTTGTGTTTTTAGATATTCAATCATTAAAAATTAATATTAGCTAATAAAAGCCGTACGTGGGAATGTTGGTAACGAATAATTTCCGTTTTTCTTTTCCCTTTTCCCTGTTCGTTTTCTTTGCAGAACTGTTAAAAATCCGAAACGGGAGAATGTTAATCATTCACCTGAAAATTATCGTTGAGAACTGGTGTTTCACAGCGTTTGTTTTTCGAGCATACCGAACGGCAATCGAAGTAATCACAGTCCTCATGTTTCTCGCAGCTTTTGCCGTCGGCAACGATACGGCCAATTACGGTCCTTGGGAAGACCGCATCCAGGTCCAGAAACTTCAGCCTCTGTCCGCCTAACGGCAAACCGAAATGATTGATTTTCACGTCGCAGAGATAAAACGGCTCGGGCATGCTGGTCTCCAGATCCTCGAGCAGGTCGAGAATCATTACGGCAAGCTTCAGCCGTTTGGCCCACTCGGGCTTTGAGTCGGGTAACGCCAATACCGTCGTTGGGGTCTCGATTGGCCTGACGTATTCTACCGCGTAAAAGGTGCCGCACGTGCCGATCAGTTGCGGGAATACATCTCTATCCTCGTACAGAATCATCATCAGGTACTCATTCTCTTGTAGCAACGGCCAGAGATTCTCCATTTCTAGGCGACGTCGCATGAGATCAGTCTCCATCCGGTGGGTACGTAGCCGGGCGAGTCGCTCCAGTTGGTGTCGCGGTAGCGTCATGTTTAGCTTACTGACAATTAAGTCTTTAATCATATTAGCGAAGTCCTCCTCGGATGGCAAGTACCGTAGACCGGTTGCGTCCGTCCAGTAAAGAGATTCGAATTGTTCCGAAGCTGTCTTAGTTCTGGGTGGCAGAATAGATTGGTTATATATATTTATGCTGTTAGTGTGTCCCGCGATTGCGTTCAGAAGTCGATTATCTTTAACGCGAAAACGAAAACGATAAAAACGCGCGGGCGTGTACGACTTCCGGGTAAAATCCCATTATATTACAATATAAAAAGAGATATAGAAATATACCTTGAAGCCTTGAAAACAAGCCGTGTCGCTTCCCAGTGTGCTGAGAAGACCGCCTCTTTGCCTGCGTGAAGTGTTTCGCATGCGAGTGAGTGTATTCCCTTTTCAGTGCACAGTGGCTCGCAGAGAATTCCCATGGCGGTACCATCTCGATGCATACTGCACTAAAATTAAAAATTAAGATCGAATACTGCGAATAGTAAGCAATGGAGTCGCGAAATTCACAAGTCGAATCGGAAATGTTTTGTGAAAAAGAGAAGTGGGGGCAGAATTGAAATGTTCTTTCATATGTGTGTTATCTATATATGTGCGTGTGTATATATGTGTAGGACGATATATTTATATATAATCGATAAATTCATATACTGCGTGTCTAAGACTACTCGTACACTCCTTTTCTTTCAAAAACTAAGCATTTTGGAGATAAAAGTCAAAAATTGTATGGTTTCCAGGGGGACATAAAACAACTATATCGGTTTGTTTACGATGGCGCCATTTTCGAAATATTCACTGATTATTAGTTTTCTTAAATGGAAACCTGAATTTTTTATTATATTATCTTTTTCTACCAATTAATTTCAACAACTTTTGTCTGAAACATTTTTTTATTTACCTAATATTTTTTGAGATATTTTAGGAAAACTTGGTCACTTTTGCAATATTTAACTTACGATATTTCGCTATTTGTCGGAAGAAAAAATAGTACTAGAATTTTATATTCTATTTGGTCTCAAGAATATATTGTTACAGTAGCTCCCTGACTTTTGTTAATTTGATGATTTTGAAATTTACACAGGTCGATAACTTAACAAAAGTTGGGGCACTATAGCAATATACTTTTGAGACTAAATATAGTAAAAAAATATAATATCATTTTCTCTTCCGACAAATAGCGAGATATCGTAAATTAAGTCTTGAAAAGTTACCAAATTTTTTTTAAATATCTCAAAAAATATTAGGCAAATAAAAAAATATTTTAAACAAAAGTTGTTCAAATTAATTGGTAGAAAAAGATGATATAATAAAAAATTTGGGTTTTCCTTTAAGAAAAATAATGATTGATGAATATCTCGAAAGTGGCACCATCTCTAAACAAAATGATATGGTCTCTCGTTTTATGTCCCTCTTGAAACCATATAACTTTTGTTTGAAACGTTTTTTAGTATCTTTCATATTTTTCAAGATATTTGTCTGTCAAAATTAAAATGGGACACGCTGTATATATATAATTTGATATCATACTTTATACATGTATTAAATATAGAAGTACACACACAGACATATATACATACATACACACGTACGCATATACACACATATAAAGAGTTTTCTACGTTAATCAATCTTATGAATTTCTTCCAAAATTACTAATGATAAAAAGACGCTTCAAATGAAAGTGGAACAATTTAAAGAATATCTAATGCTGTTAGATTTTTTCTTATGAATTTATATAAAAAGTAAGATTTAAGTTAAATTCAACAAACAAAATGAAAAGGAAAATAATTGTGTGTCGTAATATTCAGTCAAATATCCTACCAGAGATCGAAGAATCATATAAAGAGCAGGTTAGGATATATATTCACCCGCAAAAAAACGGGCCGCTAAATTTTAGCATAATTTCCTGCATATATTTTAATAGCGATAACTCTGCTAAAAATCATCGTATTGAGATAAAACAAGGCTCAAATTAAAGCTTGAACATTTCTTGTCAACAACCAAAAACCTAAAAATGAATTATAATAAATGTTTTACAAAATAGCGGATGTTAAAGATAGCCTTCGATTAATGGGAAAAAAAATTAGTTTTTTAATTGTTACACTATTCAGGGGAACCGGTCCTCTGGCACAAAAATGTATGAGGTTTAAAGCTCATTTACTTCCTAACAAATCCATATTTTAATATTTATAATATTTTAATATTTATAATATTTTAATATTTATAATATTTTAATATATTTTTCTACAACCTTTTTATAAGTTATTGCATTTTGAAGAAAATGTTATGAATCTGATATGAATTCTATCGAGCGTTTATGGGCTGCATGCTGAAACAAAGAATAAGAAAACATAATACTCAAACGTTAGCAGCACTTCGCAACGTTTTGTAAGAAGAATGGAATAATGTAAAACAAGAAGAAATAAATTTGATTTACTGTACCCCAACGAACAGAAGAATTGTTAAATACGAGAGGGGGTAATACGCATTATTAAACTTAAATACACACATAACACATCGATCAATAAGTCCCGGGACTAACTACTAAAACAACATTTGTTTGCCAAAATTCTTCTTTATTCATCAATATAGTCTCCTTCAAGAGCGATACATTCATTCCAACGCTTTCTTAACTTTTCTATGCCAGCCGTGGAACGATCTTTGGTTTCAAAGTAGGCGTTAGTTTCGGCAATCACTTCTTCATTGAAGCCAAATCTCTTTCTCTGGAACATCTTTTTTTTGAGGTCTGCGAACAGCCAATAATCGCTGGGGCCAAATCTGGAGAATACGGTGGGTGCGGAAGCAATTCGAAGTTCAACTCATGCAATTTGGCCATCGCTATCATCGACTTGTGACATGGTGTAGCGTCACTAAACCACTGTAACTCAATGACACAATGTCGGAATGTCATGAAAATTTGACACGTAACTTCTAAAGGTTGTTACTAAC